TTGATCTTAATTATTTGCTTTTAGGATTACTTTGAGCTTGAATTTCTATGGTGTGGCTCTTACATATACATCGGCAAGTTTGGCTGCTGCAACTAAAAACTGCCTTCCGGTTATAACTTTCTTCCTTGCAGTTTTGCTCAGGTAGATATATCTTATCTACTCATTCTTTTTCCTAATTTCTCTCTTTAATTAATGTTTCATTTACATAATGTATTGTTCAGAATCAAGGATAGTTCAATTTGGATGTGAGTTATCGCCAAGCAAATTAGAACTATGTTATTTTTTTCTCCTTTTCTTATAGATAAATATTCAGGAATGAACCCTTAACCTCTCTTTTGGAGTGGAGGACGCAATCGAAGATATGTAATTGGCCGAACAGTCAAAATGTTTTGTGAAACTCACATCGGCATTAATTAATACTACCTAAAATGCACATGATTGTTGCGTAAAGTCAAGTCTCATTTTTGTGAGGCTCCTTCATCAAGTCATTTTCATTTGCATTCGCACTCAATACAGAATACGATACTTTCCAATACCAACATTCATATGTTACATCAGAAAACACCATGTGATTCACACATAAACTGAACTTCACATTTTTTTTTTCAAGATATTTATTTCATTATGATTGATCCTATTCACACTTTGGTGTCTCTACTTCCCTCTCTCTCCACACGCATAGAAGAAAGAACCAAATATAGTGAGAGAAATAGAAGAGAACAGAAGAAACCCTAAAGCCCAAATTTTGAAGCAATTAAAAGCCCTAATTCCATTCAATGTAGGTCAGAAATGAAAATTTAACATAGGGTTCTTGAAGCCATGTATACGGTATACCTAGATGAGAGAATATCCTCGGAGTTGTATATACACAACATGTATTAAAAACCTTAATTTTATGTGAGTAAAGATTGATGATAGAATTTTCAATTACCAAATTTAATTTATGTGTGTGGGCTGGTGGCCCCCACCATACAATGTCACTTTATGACGTCATGTGATTGTTCCCACCACCCCCTCAAACATAAATTGAATTATGCCAATTTGGTCCCTAAATCAATTTTCGTTGATAAATATATTTTTACACAAGTTTAAAGTTTAGAGATGACAATGGATGGAAAGAAACCATATTTGGCTGTCTTCTGGTTCAGTCCATATATTCTGTAATGTTTTTTTTTTCTCTCCAAGCTGCATTTAATGTCGGTATGAACACTTTCGTGTTCGTCTTCTATAGACAAGCTGCAGCCACAGTTTTCTTAGCCCCTCTTGCATTCTTCTTTGAAAGGTGTATATATTATCATCAATTCAATGTTTTCGTTTTTTTTTTTTTTTTTTTGAAGGGTACACTTTTTATTAACCTTCTTAAATTGTTTCGATTAATTCCTAAGGAAAAATGCGCCATCGTTATCCTTGGTAACCCTTTGCAAGATCTTTATGCTTTCTCTGTGTGGGTATGCTGTTAAATTTTACTTTTACTTATCAAAAAAAAAAGAAAAGAAAAGAAAAAAAAATCATAAAATTACTTTTGATTTGTTTGTTCGTTTATTTTTGCTCTTGAAGAAATGTTCCTTTTACACCCATTACTCATCTACATGTGGTGTAAGAATGAATAAATTTTAAACTTATTTTAATTACTAGCTCTTAGTATTACTTAGAGCTTGAATTTCTATGGTGTGGCTCTTGCATATACATCTGCAAGTTTGGCTGCTGCAACTACAAACTGCCTTCCGGCTATAACTTTCTTCCTTGCAGTTATACTCAGGTAGATATATCTTATCTATTCATTCTTCGTTGCAGTTTTACATAATTTATTGTTCAGAATCAAGAATAGTACAATTTGGATATGAGTTATCGCCAAGCCAATTAGAGCTATGTTATTTTTTTCTCCTTTTCTTGTAGATAAATATTCAGGAATGAACCCTTAACCTCTCTTTTGGAATGGAGGATGCAATCAAAGCTATGTTATTGGCCGAACAGTCAAAACGTTTTGTGAAACTCACATTGGCATTTTTTAGTACTACCTAAAATCTGTCCTGCACATGATTGTTGCATAAAGTCGAGTCTCATTTTTGTGAGGCTCCTTCATCAAGTCAAAAGTAATTTGCATTTGCATTCAATACAGAATACGATACTTTCCAATACCAACATTCATATGTTACATCAGAAAACACCATGTGATTCACACATAAACTGAACTTCACATTTTTTTTAAAGAGATGCATGTATCAATTATGTGGCCAATTGAACAAACAATTTAAAACCCTAATTCAATTTAATGTTGGTGAGAAATGGAAATTTTGAAACTTAGGGTTCTTGAAGCCATGTATAAGATATACCTAGATGAGAGAGATGAGAGAATATCCTTTTGAGTATTTTTCCTTTTTTTTTTGGGAAAATTAAGCAAACACACTCACTAATGCCTCCAATGAGACTCGAACACCTGACCTCTTCTTTGGGGATGAGGGCTTGTACTAGCTGGGGTATTGGCCATTTGGTAAAATATCCTGGGAATTTTATATGCAGAACATGTAATATATAGGAACTATGAAGGCACTTTAGTACATTAATTTTCTTTAAGTGAGTTTATAATTTTCTTTTTACGCAAGTTTAAATGAACAAAAGTGTCTCCATAGACATTTTAAGGGTAGAATAGGTATTTTTAGCTTGATAGAGTGAAATCACAAGGGTTACCTTTGATCGTAACTGAAACTGATGGCAGGGGCTGTTTGTTACAAAGGTGTTAACTAGAGAAGGAAGGTGAGTGAGATTTTCCATCACTTGGGGCAAATTTCTCTAATTCACCCTATCTACGGGGAGGTTAGTGTAATTTACCCTAATTGATTTTTGCTCCATGTGGGCAGAATACTATTTTAACCTATCCTTCAATCTATCACATGTGAATTAAAGATTTTAATTTTCAAAATATAAATTCTCCTCCTTGCATAAAAAAAATAAAATAAATCTAGAGAGAGATGGGGTTACAGTCCTGTTCAAAGGATGTAATACTGCCTTTTTTAGCAATGATGGTGACAGTATGTGGTGAGGTGGGCATGCCAACAATAAGCAAAGCAAACATGAACAGGGATGAGCAATTAATTTACATTGTTACTATAATGCACTTGGCATCCTCATTCTTCTTCCATAATTCATCTTCTGGTTCCACAGGTTAGCTGTATAGCCTATATACATGTTCATATATGTATATATATAGTACTAAAATAAATTATCTCCCTCTCTCTCTCTCGATTGGCAGAAACAAGCTACCTCCTCTCAGTTTTGCAATCCTCTGCAGATTCTTCCTCCTTGGCTTCCTTGGGAATATGATACTTAGATTGCACTCACATTCATATGGATCTCCAGTTTGTTCAAATTGATAATATTGCTCTATTTAATTATATTGAAGCTTTTTTATAAAAAAAAAAAATAAGTATAATTGAAGAAAAGAAAATTGCATCTGTTGCAGGAAATGCTTAGAGATATTTGGATGTGCAGGCATTAACTACATCTCTCTGACTTTGGCAGCAGCATTGGGCAACCCTACACCAGTTTTTACATTCATGCTTGCAATTATTTTCAGGTACTAAGATCTAAGGAGTAAATTAGTCGATTGTAATTGTTTATAAATAATAGTAACTAGAAAAATTATTTATCAACAAAAAAAAAAAATAAATAAAAGATAATGGTTGTGGTGGGTGGTTATGTCAAATTAGTAGTTAATTATATATTGGATTATGGGTGTGCAAGCTTCTATTTAATATAAATTTGAATCCATTATCATCTTTTATTACATCACATTTTTCTCTTACCTAATTCATCTAAGATTGATTATGTCAATATATTAGTTCACAATCACGTCTCTAGTTATTGAATCAATAAATTAATTCATCAGTCAATTTAACAATTGGGGCCATGTTCTCATGGTAAGAAGCAAGAGCAACATCATAAAATATTCACTAATATTGGCTCTAGCTTAAATGGTATAAGCTCTCCCTCCCTTTGGAGAGATTGAGTGTTCGAGCCTAGGTTGGGACAAAAATAAATAGTTAGTGTGTGTTTGCTTGAACTTTTGAAAATATATGTATGTATTATATAAAGTAACATCATAAAATATTCTATATATGTTTGGTAAATTGTAGGATGCAAAATTACATTACTAACCTGGTCAATGTTCTTTTGCTCAGCATTAAAAGGCGCACGAGTCTATTTTATGTCCTATAATTGAGGGGACTTGTCCTCCCCATGATTCCATGAATTTTATGTCCTCTCACTTATTACTTTATTAGATTCTATGCCCACTTTTAATTTTGTACATACCCAATCAAATCAACTAGTTATGATTCGGTTTTCACCGAAACCCGTGCTGCACAAAGTAATGTAGTTCATCTTCCCACATTTAATGTCTTTTTTATGCTACTTTATATCAGAGATAAATCTTGATCTAACTAGCAAACTCACGGAGTTGAGATTTGCTGTTCTAAAGTGTACCGTGCTATAAAGAAATGGACAGCCCAAATGGAAATACAGAATAATTTTATCGTGTAGGTTACATGTTTCAACTTGAACAGTCCACTGTTGTACAATAGTGTGCGTTGTTTAGCATGGAATCAGGTTAGCAAACTCATCACGAGATTATTATGTTGATAAATATATAATGTTTAATAAATATTTTTTTCTATGCATAGACTGCATATAATATGATCAGATAATTGGTGGTGTTATTGTAATTTTCTTCTTCTTAAGATAATACACACTCTCTTTATAATGCACTGCAGCAAGTATATGTGCGTAATTCAAATTTTCCAAATAAATGTTGCAATTTTTAGGGTGGAGAAGATAGACATAAGGAGCTCAAGCAGTCGAGCAAAGTCAGTGGGCACCATTGTAGCAGTATCAGGAGCAGTCATTGTGACACTTTACAAAGGTCCACCCAACCATTTTGTAGTCACTAAGTGGCTTGTAGTTGAATAAAATCAAGCTCATCACTGCATCATTTAGAGATGACAATGGATGGAAATAAACCATATTTGGCTGTTCTTCTGGTTCAATCCACATATTCTGTAATGTTTTTGTTCTCCAAGGCTGTGCATTCAATGTCGGTATGAACACAAAGACAAGCTGCTGCCACAGTTTTCTTTAGCCCCTCTTGCATTTTTCTTTGAAAGGTGTATATATTTTCATCAATTCAATTCTTTGTTCTTCTTCTTCTTTTGAAGGCTACACTTTTTATTAACCTTCTTGAATTGTTTCGATCTATTCCCAAGGAAAAACTGGTGTAAGATTTTTTATATTTTTTTTTGGGTTATTGAATAAATTTTAAGCATATATGTTCAGTATTGGTCTTAATTATTTGCTGTTAGGATTACTTTGAGCTTGAATTTCTGTGGTGTGGCTCTTACGTATACATCTGCAAGTTTGGCTGCTGCAACTACAAACTGCCTTCCGGTTATAACTTTCTTCCTTGCTGTTCTACTCAGTTAGATATCTATATCTATTGATTCTTGTTCTTAATTTCTCCCTCTTTAATTAATGTTTGGTTTACATAATGCATTGTTCAGAATCTAGGATAGTACAATTTGGATGAGTTATTGCCAAGCCAATTAGAGCTAGGTTCTTTTTTTCTCCTTTTCTAATAGATAAATATATTCACAAATGAACCCTCAACCTCTCTTTTGAAGTGGTGGACGCAATCGGAGCTATGTAATTAGTCGAACAGTCAAATTGTTTTGTGAGACTCACATTGGCAGCAATTAATACTACCTAAATCTGTCCTGCATATGATTGTTGCATAAAGTCGAGTCTCATTTTTGTGAGGCTCCTTCATCAAGTCATTGTCATTTGCATTTAATATAGAATACGATACTTTCCAATACCAACATTCATACGTTACATCATAAAACACCATGTGATTCATGCATAAGCTGAACTTAACGTATTTTTTTTAAAAGAGATGCATGTATCAATTATGTGGCCAATTGATGTAAACTTATTTTGGAATGAAAACTGGCAGTATCACAAGTTTTTTTTGGGGGGTTACAAAAAGCATCAAAGTTGGGCATTATGTAGTACTTAAAAAAGATAAAACCTGTGAATTGAACTTATTAGTCATAAAAGTTGCTGCTTATTGTTGTTTTCAGTCTTTAACCTGTTGTTATTTTTATGTTTAGCAAAATTGGGTAAGTATACTGCACAGGAGGTTAGAAATGATTTGTATAATCACACAAGCTCGTTTGTTGGATGGAGTAATTTTCATGTATAATGTGAAGATCACCCCATCCAACAAGTGAGGTAATTTAACTGGTAAAACTAAACATAAAACTGCTCTAGTCTTGTTCTTTATGTTGCTATATATGGTATAGATGTGATGTAGAACTAATTGTTGGAGCTTGTATGGACTGTTTGGATTACCAGATCGAAGTCCAAACAGACAGGGTGACATGTTTTATATAACCCACAAAAGAAAACGAGGAAATACATTCAATAATATTATAAAGGAAGCATGTTCTTCCTTATATGTAAGAAGTAAATATTGTTCCTTTAATGGTATAGTGTTACGTGACCAGCGTGACATAAATGTAGTACTTGACAATGTTGTGAGTATGTTGAATTGGTTTTGTTAGACCATCAAATTTTCAACTGAGCTTGAACAATTAATGTTGAATTACAGAATGGAAACTGTGAAGTTGAAGACAACCCCTGGCATTGCAATGGTTGCAGGTATAACAATCTGCATGGCAGGAGCAGCAACCATTGCCATCTATAGGAGCCCCTCTTTGAAACTCTTGTTACATCACCACCTCTTTGGGGATAATCACAGCCAAGAACGTCAACTTCATGTTCTCCCCAGGAAAACATGGAAAAATTATTGCTTCCTCATGCTTCTTTCCAACACCTTTTGGGGTTTCTGGCTTGTATTGCAGGTAAATATGTTTGTTTTTCGAGTTTCTATTCTTTTTTTCTTTTTCTTTTTTACTTTTTGCTTTTTTCTTTTATTTATTTTTTATTTTTATTTTTGAGAAATATCGGAATTTGAATAATACACACACATATATATATACACTTTTCATTTATGCATTTAGGGGCCATTGCTTGGTTCACCGGTGAAATATGCAGGTTACATGAATGTGGGTTCGAATCCTTTTGCAGACATTTTTGTACATTTAAATGTTAGGTTGTATTTAGTCCACTCTTTCCAACACCCTCTATTAACGAGGACTCAAAGGTTAATTAATTTCGAAAAGGAAGAACTACAAAAACCATATAAAAAAACCCTCGTGAATGGCAAGTTGGGACTTGGGATTTGGGATGGAATGTCAAACTCCTATCTGTGGCTTATTGTGTAAGAAAAGACAATCCTTTCATAATTGATATTCCCCTTAATTTCTCTACTAAACATCAAGAACAAAACTAAATAAACGTACCGTTGGGTCCATGTCTTCATCATATGCTGCAGCTTGGGACTTCTGAACCTGGGAGGTTGGCATGGCAGCACCCTTGAGAAGAATGTTGCCATCATTAGTCCACAGAATAAAACTGCAATGTACTTAAAGAGAATAAGGGAGTCCTCACTCCTATCATGGTAAACCAATGTATGATTATGTGGAAAAATGACGGGGTGATAAATTTCAAACTGTATCTGCAAAACAGTAACTGTGTAATTATATTAGGAACCAGAATGAGACCTGATAACAATTTCTTGCTTGAAATAGAATCATATCAAACAGTTCAACTCAGCCAAACCATAATTAGATTATGAAACAAAGAAATATTAATACAAATATGCAGATTGTTGTTCTTTCTTTACTCTCTACCATTCTCAAAACCTTGACCTAGGACTTGAGAATTAAGACCCAAAGAATAGACCAGTCAAATATGCAGATATATAAATTTACATATATTGCAATTTTAGGGAACGTTCATAAAGAACCAACCATTTCCTACTTGGGTTATATGAACTTGTAGAGGCATCATTTTTTGTGCCCACAAAATATTAATATTGTCAAAAGCTAGAACATTAGAAGTTTATAATGTCAAAGCAAGTGTGTAAATTTAGTTCTTTTCTGTGGTATGTAAGCGTGTACGAATATATATACACACACTACATACAGAGAGACCTAAAGACCGGCAAGAATCCCAAGAGCATGAAATTGAAGCCCAACGGTGAGCATCTCAAGCCCCAACAGACTAGCTCGTTAACGAGCCGAACAGAGGAGCTCCACAGATAGGAGATTTTGTGTTCGACACTTTCTAAGATAGTAAATTCAGACTTAACCGATAAGTGTGACTTGTGAGTGATTGCAAGGATTCTCACGGCAAAAAAAAAAAAAGTGAGTGAGCATTTCAAATAGTTAGAAACTGTAAGCATAACTTTTAATAATTGTTTTAAAATTTTAAGGTATTGAGACCGGCTTAAACCTCACTTCCACACCAAACATAAAGTCTGGAAAAATAAGGGTAAGATTGAGATTTGAATCCAAGACCCCTTAAAACCACAAGTTGATGATCATATTAGATTAATTAGTAGCTTTTTTTTTTTTTAATTAAAACTATATTTACTTAACCCAATATATATATATATATATATTTATTTATTTATTTTGGTTCCAGGCGTAAAAATGGATGTTTAAAGGAGGAGGTCAATAATATACATTAGTAATTGGGACTAAGTGTGTCCTAATTTTCTTGAAATATATAAAAACAATATCTAACAAAATATTTTAGTATCTGAAAATATTTGGTTTATTTCCATAAAAATGCCATAAAGTAGCTTAGGATATGCTATATATTCTCACTCTAAACGAAGACTTGATTGTTAACTAAGGCGGCTTAGGATTGCACGGAGACTTGGTTGTTAAGAAATTCATCTCATTATAAAAGAGTAGTGCCGCCACCAAATTAAGGCATTAATTCTTCAAATCTATCTATAGAGAGAGAGAGAGAGATAGAGAGTGATAAGAGGGCCAGCGTTATAAAATAGTTGTGCCGCCACCATATTTAAGCATTCTTCAAATCGATCTAGAGAGAGAGAGATCAGAGGGCCATCGCGTTCTTCTAAATCAGGAAGAAGAAGAAGAATGCAGAAGAAGAAAAAGATGCCAAAATTGAAGAAGGAATTAATAACCAACGTAAAGTCACATTACGTTAGTTTTCAGAACAAAAGAAAGTGCTTGGAAAAGAAGGCGTTCGAATTATCTACTCTTTGCGATGTTGAAGCCTGCTTGGTAGTTCATGGTCCAGACCACCGCGGTCTGATTGATGATCAGCAGCCCCACATGTGGCCTAATGATCCTGATACAATCCAGCGTATGTTCGCCTTGTATAAGCAACAATCCAATGAAAATCGTTGCAAATTGACCCTCGATTTATCTGACTTCTTAGAAGACAACCCGAAGAAGAGGAAGATGAAGATGAAGAAAGAGGCTGATGAAACAACTTCTTCAGTAATTGTAAAAGTAGAGGACAAGAAAGTTGATGAGACCACAAAGAATATCAAGTTTGCCACTTCGGATGATGGGTTTAACAATCTGTCTATGGAACAATTGAGAGAATATTGTACCAAGTTGGAAGAAAGGATTGAATCCATCAAAGGTAGGGTTCAGTTCTTGAACTCTAATTACCAAAACACGGAAGACATCTTTCTTGATACACAAGAAACCCATTCTAATTACTTCATGCCATTGGAGGAACAACCGATTTCCTTCTTCAGCGATCTTGAGGTGCCGGATCATTACCCACAATTTGATCTCTCAATTTCGGATTCGATGATGAACATGATGGGCGATGAAGACTGCATTGGAGTTGGTGGTGCTTCTTCTAGTAGCCATATAATGTTATACAATAGCAGCACTCCTACAAATACTATTCCAATTTTTTATGATCCAACGTTTGGGGTAATGGAGGAGAATCCAACCATACCACCGATGATGAATGATGAAGAAGATGGTAGTGGACTTAGTGGTATTGATTTCAACAGTTTTGATGATCTAACTTTTGGTATGTTTCTGGACAATGGTATGTTTCTGGATAATGCGATTATGGATGATCCGATGTGTTACTATGGTGGTTCGACGATGCAACCGATGTATATGCATGCTTAGCTTCTGATCAGATGGAGTAGTATCTGAAAATATTTGGTTTATTTCCATAAAAATACCATAATGCGGCTTAGGATATGCTATATATCCTTACTCTAAACGAAGACTTGATTGTTAATTGAGGCGGCTTAGGGTTGCACGGAGACTTGGTTGTTAAGAAATTCCTCTAATTATAAAAAAGTAGTGCCGCCACCAAATTAAGGCATTAATTCTTCAAATCTATCTAGAGAGAGAGTGAGTGATAAAAGGGCCAACGTTATAAAATAGTTGTGCCGCCACCAAATTTAAGCATTCTGCAAATCGATCTAGAGAGAGAGAAGGGCCGCCGGTGTCTAGAGAAAGAGAGATCAGAGGGCCATCGTGTTCTTCTAAATCAGGAAGAAGAAGAAGAAGAAGATGCCGAAATTGAAAAAGGAATTAATAACCAACGTAAAGTCACGTTACGATAGTTTTCAGAAGAGAAGAAAGTGCTTGGAAAAGAAGGCGTTTGAATTATCCACTCTTTGCGATGTTGAAGCCTGCTTGGTAGTTCATGGTCCAGACCACCACGGTCTGATTGATGATCAGCAACCCCACATGTGGCCTAATGATCTTGATACAATCCGGCGTATGTTCGCCTTGTACAAGCAACAATCCAATGAAAATCGTTGCAAATTAACCCTCGATTTATCTAACTTCTTGAAAGACAACTCGAAGAAGAAGAAGAAGAAAGAGGCTAATGAAACAACTTCTTCAATAATTGTAAAAGTAGAGGACAAGAAAGTTGATGAGACCACCAAGAATATCAAGTTTGTCACTTCGGATGATGAGTTTAACAATCTATCTATGGAACAATTGAGAGAATATTGTACCAAGTTGGAAGAAAGGATTGAATCCATCAAAGGTATGGTTCAATTCTTGAACTCTAATTACCAAAACACGGAAGATATCTTTCTTGATACACAAAAAACCCATTCTAATTACTTCATGCCATTGGAAGAGCAGCCGATTTCCTTCTTCAGCAATCTCGAGGTGCCGGATCATTACCCAATTCGATCTCTCAATTCCGGATTCGATGATGAACATAATGGGCGATGAAGACCGCATTGGAGTTGGTGGTGCTTCTTCTAGTAGCCATATGACGTTATACTAGCAACACTTTTACAAATACTACTCCAATTTTTTATGATCCAACGTTTGGGGTAATGGAGGAGAATCCAACCATACCACCGATGATGAATGATGAAGAAGATGGTAGTGGACTTAGTGGTATTGATTTTAGCAGTTTTGATGATCCAACTTTTGGTATGTTTCTGGACAATGCGATTATGGATGATCCGATGTGCTATTATGGTGGTTCGACGATGCAACCGATATATATGCATATTTAGCTTCTGATCAGATGGAGTAGTATCTGAAAATATTTGGTTTATTTCCATAAAAATGCCATAAGGCAGCTTAGGATATGCTATATATCCTTACTCTAAACGGAGACTTGATTGTTATCTAAGGCGACTTAGGATTGCACGGAGACTTGGTTGTTAAGAAATTCCTCACATTATAAAAGAGTAGTGCCGCCACCAAATCAAGGCCTTAATTCTTCAAATCTATCTAGAGAGAGAGTGTGTGATAAGGGGGCCAGCGTTATAAAATAATTATGCCGCCACCAAATTTAAGCATTCTTCAAATTGATCTAGAGAGAGAGAGAGGCCGCCGGTGTCTAGAGAGAGAGAGATCAGAGGGCCATCGCATTCTTCTAAATCAGGAAGAAGAAGAAGAATGCAGAAGAAGAAGAAGATGCTGAAATTGAAGAGGGAATTAATAACCAACGTAAAGTCATGTTACGTTAGATTTCAGAAGATAAGAAAGTGCTTGGAAAAGAAGGCGTTCGAATTATCCACTCTTTACGTTGTTGAAGGTTGCTTGGTAGTTTATGGTCCAGACTACCACGGTCTAATTGATGATCAGCAGCCCCACATGTGGCCTAATGATCCTGATACAATCCGGCGTATGTTCGCCTTGTACAAGCAACAATCCAATGAAAATCGTTGCAAATTGACCCTTGATTTATCTGACTTCTTAGAAGACAACCCGAAGAAGAAGAAGATGAAGAAGAAGAAAGAGGCTGATGAAACAACTTCTTCAGTAATTGTAAAAATAGAGGACAAGAAAGTTGATGAGACCACCAAGAATATCAAGTTTGCCACTTCGGATGATGAGTTTAACAATCTGTCTATGGAACAATTGAGAGAATATTGTACCAAGTTGGAAGAAAGGATTGATTCCATCAAAGGTAGGGTTCAATTCTTGAGCTCTAATTACCAAAACACGGAAGACATCCTTCTTGATACACAAGAAACCCATTCTAATTACTTCATGCCATTGGAGGGGCAACCGATTTCCTTCTTCAGCGATCTTAAGGTGCCGGATCATTACCCACAATTCGATCTCTCAATTCCGGATTCGATGATGAACATGATGGGCGATGAAGACTGCATTGGAGTTGGTGGTGCTTTTTCTAGTAGCCATATGATGTTATACACCAGCAGCACTCCTACAAATACTATTCCAATTTTTTATGATCCAACGTTTGGGGTAATAGAGGAGAATCCAACCATACCACCGATTATGAATGATGATGAAGATGGTAGTGGACTTAGTGGTATTGATTTCAGCAGTTTTGATGATCCAACTTTTGGTATGTTTTTAAACAATGGTATGTTTCTGGATAATGCGATTATGGATGATCTGATGTGCTACTATGGTGGTTTGACGATGCAACCGATGTATATGCATGTTTAGCTTCTGATCAGATGGAGTAGTATCTGAAAATATTTGGTTTATTTCCATAAAAATACCATAATGCGGCTTAGGATATGCTATATATCCTTACTCTAAACGGAGACTTGATTGTTAACTGAGGCGGCTTAGGGTTGCACGGAGACTTGGTTGTTAAGAAATTCCTCTCATTATAAAAAAGTAGTACCGCCACCAAATTAAGGCATTAATTCTTCAAATCTATCTAGAGAGAGAATGAGTGATAAAAGGGCCAACGTTATAAAATAGTTGTGCCACCACCAAATTTAAACATTCTGCAAATCGATCTAGAGAGAGGGGCCGTCGGTGTCTAGAGAGAGAGAGATCAGAGGGCCATCGCGTTCTTTTAAATCAGGAAGAAGAAGAAGAATGCAGAAGAAGAGGAAGATGCCGAAATTGAAGAAGGAATTAATAACCAACATAAAGTCACATTATGTTAGTTTTTAGAAGAGAAGAAAGTGCTTGGAAAAGAAGGCGTTCAAATTATCCACTCTTTGCGATGTTGAAGCCTGCTTGGTAGTTCATGGTCCAGACCACCACGGTTTGATTGATGATTAGCAGCCCCACATACGGCCTAATGATCCTGATACAATTCGGTGTATGTTCACCTTGTACAAGCAACAATCCAATGAAAATCATTGCAAATTGACCCTCGATTTATCTGACTTCTTGAAAGACAACCCGAAGAGGTAGAAGATGAAGAAGAAGAAAGAAGCTGATGAAACAACTTCTTCAGAAATTGTAAAAGTAGAGAATAAGAAAGTTGATGAGACCACCAAGAATATCAAGTTTGCCACTTCGGATGATGAGTTTAACAATCTATCTATGGAACAATTGAGAGAATATTGTACCAAGTTGGAAGAAAGGATTGAATCCATCAAAGGTAGGGTTCAATTCTTGAACTCTGATTACCAAAACACGGAAGACATCTTTCTTGATACACAAGAAACCCATTCTAATTACTTCATGCCATTGGAGGGGCAGCCGATTTCCTTCTTCAGCGATCTTAAGGTGCCGAATCATTATCCACAATTCGATCTCTCAATTCCGTATTCGATGATGAACATGATGGGCGATAAAGACTGCATTAGAGTTGGTGGTGCTTCTTCTAGTAGCCATATGATGTTATACACTAGCAGCACTCCTACAAATACTATTCCAATTTTTTGTGATCCAACGTTTGGGGTAATGGAGGAAAATCCAACTATACCACCGATGATGAATGATGAATGATGAAGAAGATGGTAGTGGACTTAGTGGTATTGATTTCAGCAGTTTTGATGATCCAACTTTTGGTATGTTTCTTGATAATGGTATGTTTCTGGATAATGCGATTATGGATGATCCGTTGTGCTACTATGGTGGTTCGACGATGCAACCGATGTATATGCATGCTTAGCTTCTGATCAGATGGAGTAGTATCTGAAAATATTTGGTTTATTTCCATAAAAATGCCATAAGGAAGCTTAGGATATATTATATATCCTCGCTCTAAACGGAGACTTGATTGTTAACTAAGGCGGCTTAGGGTTGCACGGAGACTTGGTTGTTAAGAAATTCCTCTCATTATAAAAGAGTAGTGTCGCCACCAAATTAAGGCATTAATTCCTAAAAAAAATTTAGAGAGAGAGAATGATAAGAGGGCTAACGTTATAAAATAGTTGTGCTGCCACCAAATTTAACCATTCTTCAAATTGATCTAGAGAGAGAGAGGGGTCGCCGGTGTCTAGAGAGAGAGAGATCAGAGGGCCATCGCGTTCTTCTAAATCAGGAAGAAGAAGAAGAATGCAGAAGAAGAAGAAGATGCCAAAATTGAAGAAGGAATTAATAACTAACGCAAAGTCACGTTACGTTAGTTTTCAGAAGAGAATAAAGTGCTTGGAAAAGAAAGCGTTCGAATTATCCACTCTTTGCGATGTTGAAGCCTGCTTGGTAGTTCATGGTCCAGACCACCACGGTCTGATTGATGATCAGTAGCCCCACATGTGGCCTAATGATCCTGATACAATCCGGCGTATGTTCGCCTTGTACAAGCAACAATCCAATGAAAATCGTTGCAAATTGACCCTCGATTTATCTGACTTCTTGGAAGACAACCCAAAGAAGAAGAAGATGAAGAAGAAGAAGAAAGAGGCTGATGAAACAACTTCTTCAGTAATTGTAAAAGTAGAGGACAAGAAAGTTGATGAGACCACCAAGAATATCAAGTTTGCCACTTCGGATGATGAGTTTAACAATCTGTCTATGGAACAATTGAGAGAATATTGTACCAAGTTGGAAGAAAGGATTGAATCCATCAAAGGTAGGGTTCAATTCTTGAACTCTAAATACCAAAATACGGAAAACATATTTCTTGATACACAAGAAACCCATTCTAATTACTTCATGCCATTGGAGGAGCAGCCGATTTCCTTTTTCAGCGATCTTGAGGTGCCGGATCATTACCCATAATTCGATCTCTCAATTCCGGATTCGATGATGAACATGATGGGCGATGAAGACTGTATTGGAGTTGGTGGTGCTTCTTCTAGTAGCCATATGACGTTATACACTAGCAGCACTCCTACAAATACTACTCCAATTTTTTATGATCCAACGTTTGGGGTAATGGAAGAGAATCCAACCATACCACCGATGATGAATGATGAAGAAGATGGTAGTGGACTTAGTGGTATTGATATCAGCAGTTTTGATGATCCAACTTTTGGTATGTTTCTGGACAATGGTATGTTTCTGGATAATGCGATTATGGATGATCCGATGTGCTACTATGGTGGTTCGACGATGCAACCGATGTATATGCATTCTTAGCTTCTGATCAGATAGATTAGTACGTTAGTGTGTATCAAGTTAGGGCATAAGCTAGACACGAATTTAATTTCTGGTGTTGGTGGAATATTAATTTGGTTGATCATATGTTACTTTAGCTACCTTCAATTGTTGATATTAGACACTTAATTGTATGTATATGGCTTTATGAATTTTAAATTTCTCTGCATACTTCTTGTTGGAATTTCTATATATGTGAATTGTAGGTTCAGTATATCACTGCAAGGAAAAAAAAAAAAAAAACAAAAAAAAATTTAAGACTTGCCAAAACTGCCTTGATTACTCTTTACAATGGACAGAGATTCCGTCAAAAGTAACACATTCAAATGATCATACTCAAATGAACTAAAAATTGAAAATTCATCACATTTTAAGTGTGCTTCCATACAATATATTCTGTTACATCAGTTAGTTCCTATTCCATCAAAAGTAACACATTCAAATGAACTAAA